AAAAGGTTAGGGCGATGCGGAAACGTCGTTATAGCGTTAGCCAGTCATCCGTCTAGCTTGATAGCATCTGTTTGCTAACCTAAGGCGGTTGATTATTGTAACGTACCTACGGGTTTTTGTACATTTTTTACGATAGATTTAGCTAATTAATTCACACGGCAGATTTTTTACGACAGAGAATCTGATATTTATTCCACTGGTGATGTCTTTAACGCTACACCGAACCCAGTTAGCGATAGCTTACGTTGAGCAGTTATACTAAAATGAGCTAACTTCAAGCTAAGTGGAAGCTAAATCTGGCCTAGCAAACGAACATGGTGAACGCCCTGTACGTTTGTGTTTCTGGCTACTTGTTAATATGATTGAATTTCCTCAAGTTTTAGCTACTCGTCCGCTAACATTGGTGTACAGTTAAACATACTATATTCTCGCTTTTAGGCAGCACATTTAACGTTACAATGCGAGCATATCTTTCAAACTCATAACATTTGGTTTATTCCACTCAATTATTATACAACAAAAACATGTACACTTTACGCAGTTTTCGTAGCCCGTGATGAGAAGAACATGGTATTTTACCTGCCCCTTATTAATAAAAATGAAACCGAAATCAAAAGTCAACCCAACAATCTACCATCAGCAAAACCGGTTAACTGACATCTTCATACTGCCTAATTATTCTTTCTTTATATGTTTTCTTAAACCTAACGATCTTCATACAGCATAAAAAAGTACCCAAAAATGATGACTTACTATTACTATTTGTATAGGAGTTGCAAGACTTGGGAAAGGACCCCCCTGCCTCATGTTCAGCTGGACCTGTAGGGGATGACTGTAAGTGTGAGAATACGTAACATTTTTTAATGTTTAATCTACCAAGGTCATTCTTGTTATCAATATTGTAACAATGTTCTCACGGATTATGTTATCCTCTTTGTTTCTTTTAGTGTTTCACTGGCAGGCTACCATCACAGGACCGGTGAGAGTTTTTCTGGATTAGTTTCCTGGATTTTTTTTAAAACCAAGTTTCTTCTGGATCTCTAGAGACAATAGTGTTTTATGTTGACTTTACAACCCTTTCTGTTCTGTATGGAGAGCACAGACTGGCACACTCTATCCCAGTGTTAGTCTCTAAAGCTAATGGCATTACTTAGACAATAGGAAGGGGAAATACCATAATGCCATTTATGTTAGCAAAGAAAAATCTGAAAACTATCTTTTGAATCTCAATACATATAATACAGTATTTTATTGCATACATGACAAGGCATTATTTAACAATCCTTTTCCTCATTATTTTCTAGAATGACAGCCCTTATCATGGCGGAGTGTTCTTCCTTTCTGTCCATTTTCCCACTGACTACCCCTTTAAGCCACCAAAGGTAAGATTGTTTTCTTACAGATTAATTTTAGGTAAAATACATCATTTTTCACTGTTTTCTAGAACAAACAATTAGTCAATACAAGATTAAAAGGTTATGTGATCTAATAATGCTTTGTTTTTTTCATAGCTTGCCTTTACAACGAAGATCTACCACCCAAACATCAACAGCAATGGCAGCATCTGCCTTGACATCTTGAGGTCGCAGTGGTCCCCTGCGCTCACAGTATCAAAAGGTAACTACTCTCCATTTCACCTGTACATTAAAGTGTAACACATTTCTACAGCACTGTGAAGAAAACTGTTTTTTATGTCAGCTTAACTTTGAAATCACAAAGGAATGTATTTTTTTTAATAATATGATTTCACACGCTTATGGGTAAATTAGGAGCTTGAGCTAAAACAGAACATGGAAAGGGAATGCCAAAGACGGTTAGGTGAATTGGAATAAATATAGCCAGGAAGGGAAGCTCTCAACACAATTGGATTCTTCCAAATGAATGATTTTCAGTCTCTATGGACACGCATTACAGGATTTTCAGGGTTGATTATCCAAGAATAAAACTAAAGCTGTGTGCTTTTGACATTTAGAAAATTGTGAAATTGCAGGCTTTGTACTGTATAATTGGAGAGGGCAAACGGGGGATGTTCAAAAGTTTTAGAACCTAAACTTTTGGGATTTGGCTTTAAAGGTGCATGAAATGAAAGCTTGTTTATTTGCGTTTAAATTGGAGAACATGTTCAAAAGTTGTTCAAATTAATTTAAACTAGGGATGCACGATATTGGTTTTTTGAAACCGATACCGATAACTTCCTGCTTCTCAAGACCGATACCGATAACCGATAATAATATAATATATATATATATTAAATGTACCTATAGTTTTTGCACACCGGGTGGTAAAAAAAAGACTAGTAGTGAGCAAATGACATGAGCATTACTACTATGAACAAAACAAAGCCAAGAACAGTTTTGACTCTTCAAAGTGACCATATTTATTTTCCCAAATAAAGTTCTTGCCTTTTTCAAAAGCCTCGTGGATAGGTAAAAGCCCCGGTGCCTTTGCAGCTGGCTTTGGATTCGCCGCTAGTTTAACAGCGCAGGCGTCTTCGTGCGCTTTTAACACACCATCGTAGCGATGGCGATGTTTCAGGTGACTAATCAGGAAGTATTATAGCTCGTTGCCTTTTTCCCTCCTCGTGGAACTTCTGCATTTGTTAATACAAATAGCAAGCGAACTATCTAACTCTGAAACTTTGAAATAGTCCCATACTACCGACGACATGTTTGTTTACTGTCCTGGCTTCACGGCCGCACACCATTTATGTCACAGCCAGGCATGAGTTAGGGAGAGCTGGATTTGTGAAGAACTCCCCTCTTCCTAAACCACTAATACCACAGTACTGGCAAAACGGGAGGAGCCAAGTGAAAAACAAGCGCCCCTCATCCCAATCCACCCACACCGCAGTACTTTTTCTTTTTTTTACCCAAAAAATATATTGTATATTATCGGGGCTATTAATACTGTTATCGGGTTTATCGGGATGACGTCATAATTCCTAATATCGGACCGATAATTATCGTGCACCACAAATTTAAACCTATTTGCATAACATTTTCTTTTTTCCTTCCAGTTTTATTATCTATTTGCTCCTTGCTATGTGACCCGAATCCCGATGATCCGTTAGTCCCAGACATTGCGCACATCTACAAATCAGACAGACAAAGGTGAGTACAAATGACCCAAAATGTGGAATGTGGACACACTTGAATTCATCATCTATTTTGGAAATACTCATCCTGGTTTTCATATCTCCTTAGGTACAACAAAGTAGCCAGGGAATGGACCCAGAGGTATGCAATGTGAGGGACCCAAGTTTCAGCAACAAAGACGCATCCCTGAACGGCTCAGAATATGACAGTACTGTTTCAACTGCTCATTCACACTGGTTCTAGTTGAGGTGTTTTATTAGCTTGAAGCACGTTCTCTACTTGGACTTTACTTGACTTTCCTGTTTTTACTGTTTTATTTTCCCCTTAAATTGGCGTCATTATTATTATTATTATTATTGGTTGTGGTGAGATGGCCTGATTTCTTTTAAGAGATATATATTGTACAAGACCATACTGAATTTATTTTTCATTATTTTTCATTAAAGACATTAACCAAGTGAATTGCAAATTGTTTCTTGGCAACATGCATAAAAACCGAAATTATGAACCATTTGGCATTAAGTGTTTCATTCTGTGAACAGTACATTTCTATTACCAACAAATTAGTTGCCCTTACTTCTACTATTCACATGGCCACTAGGTGGTAGCCTTTAGTTTTTACAGCTCAAACCTGGGCAGTCAAATATTCTTGTTTGTCTTACTTTTAACTCACTTGCTCTTAAAGCCCGTTTATTGAGTAGTTATTCATGTGGATAACTTTTATAATGTTGTGATTTAGCAATTAAATTCATAACAAATGTTCAGTCCATTGAAATGAGACCATCCATTATATTCACCTCTACTGGTTTTACACACAGTAATTAAGCAGCTCATGTCTTCTTGATGTCTACATTACAATGCAAATATGCTGATATTAATTGAATGACTGGCATGAACATATTTAATCTACATTGCTATGTTGATGTGACCTCACAAAACTACTGAGGGCATGTATTGTCCTGATAGTATAAGGTTGACCCTCAAATGTTTAACTCTGATAACCTGCAAGAGGTTATCAAAGTTAAACACTTGGAGATTTGACTTTGTCATACATTTTAAATAATAGATGACTACCTTAACCATTTTGGGTTTAGATTAAGATATCAAATGCCAAAGATATCCCACAATTTGAGAAAAAAGGAGAATGATTTTCACAAGACTAAAATCAAGTTGATGAAGTGTACCTTCCAAATGGACAGAAAACCAGGTCCTGTAGTAACAAGGTGATTTTGCTTTAAAATTAAAGCACCAGCTTTCAAACTAAGGTTAATATCAGGCCATATATTGAAACTCAATCATTTCCTGAACACAGCCGGAGTATAATCCTGGAATTGTACAGGGACTTGGAAATATTGTATTGCATACATCTCTGGCCTCTAGTTTTTGTATAACTTTATATGGCATTAGCACATAAACAATATCTTTGAATTTTACCCCTTTTGAGGCTGTATGGCATAATGTATGATTGCTCTACATTTGTTTTGGTTTCTCTTTCCTGTATTGCTTCCCTTCACCCACTCAGGATGTGTAGTGTTTCCTCTACAAACCAATAAACTGGTTGCATGGGGTGTTATTACAAAGTGCTGGCTAAGTGGGGGGGGAAAGGCATAGAAATATTCATTTATACTCAGGCCAAGCCTCTCTTTATGTTTCATGGTTTATTTTCATATCTTGTGGTGTAAAATTAACTTGTAATATAATCATCATAGCTCATAATAACTGTGCTTTTGTTTGCTACAATTGGCTATCATAGCTGAACAGTTTCCCATAAATGAGATATAAAAGTTGTCTCATAGACAGAAAAAAACAGTGACTTTTGGAGACTAACCAGGAGAGGGAAGATGTTTTAAAAAAAATATTGTCTGGGAGGAGCCCCACTTTTTTTGCAGGGTGACACGTGAAACTTTCTCGAAGAGTTGGTTGCTATGTTTGCAGTGTGCATTAGGAAGCTCTGTTAACTCCATACACGACCTATAGCGAGAGGAAGAGTGTGCTTCTGCCTATTTTTAGGAAAGTCTGCCTGTAATGGGGGAAAACGAAGGGGCTTAAAGAAAGTGCAGAGGAAGGTCTCAATCGCGCTGCAATGATCCCGCGCAACACCACGCAGTGACGGAATAAAAAAAAGTTTACAGAAGTTTACCCGTTTTGCTTCAACTCGACTTAACTTTGTTTTAAAACGCAGTGGCCACTGGAGAAGTTGCTGAGCAGCGCAATGGCTGCCCAGTGCGACACTTTAAGCGGATACTTGCAGCAGTCGGACCAGGGCTCCAACAGCGAGCGCAGCGCCGACTCTCCCCTCCCGGGATCAGAGGACGACCTGAGCGGGCTCCATCCGCTGCCAGACCCGGAGTGGACCGAAGAGAGGTTCCGGGTGGACCGCAAGAAGTTGGAAGCCATGTTACTAGGTATGATAAACTTAGTAATTAAATAGAAACATATCAGTAGCCTATACTGAAGTATTTTTCAATATATTGCATTTAATCTTTTTTTATCCCGTCTCTTGTAATTGTAGGCTGTCGTTGTTTCCGAGTAACTGCACACGTTTGCAACCCTCTGACGGCTCTTTGTTTATGTTATACTCGTAAAATGAAATGTACTATCCATAATTAGTACTTTTTGTGACCTAAACATAGCAGGGTTCCATTTTAGCATGCTCAGAAAAGTTGACCATGTCATGGTCGGGCGGCTGTGGCTCAATGGATAGAGTGCTGAACTTCGAATCAGGGGCTACCAAGTTCGAGTCCGTCCGTCAGTCAGCATGTCGTTGTGTCCATGGGCAAGACACTTCAACCCAAATTGCTCCTGTGGGGATTGTCCACAGTACTGAATTGTCGCTTTGGATAAAAGCTTGGCGATTGGGCTTGACGAACCAATTAGCTATTGGCTTTCAATTAGTGATAACTTGTCAAAAGCATAGGTCAAAAGTAAGTTATTTGTTACCCAAGGAAGTAAGTTGCTTGATTACAGTCATATTTGCGTACATTATTTCGAAAATAAAAGTTTTATGGAAGGTTAAAAGGGGCAAAGACAATAACCATAATTTCTCTGATGGAAGTAGTAGCATGCCCCGACCACATGCTGTCGCTGTACAAACTGCATGGTGTGCATTTGTTTATAGAAACTGACCTAAACATGCAGTCCGCTTACTTTTCAGTAAACTTGGAAAGTCTGTAAACAAATATTTAACAAGGGACATTTTTAGGGTTCAGTCCGCCTCTAAACAAATCCCAGATTGCTTAAAAGAGGAAAATCTAATTGTTAAACATCATTGATTTACTGTATTTTTTGTTTTTGTGATGCATTTGATTCCCAGTGACATTTATTCAAATGTATACAAAAACTGATGAGAGGCTCATTAAGACAGGTCAGTCTCTGTTGAGAGGCCCCTATACTCACAGATTGAGGTCATTTATCACATTTTTCAACAGTAAAACGTGGAATATAATTTAAGAGACTTTGGGTAAATGGGCTAGATTATTTGTCATTTCCACGAATGCAGAGAAGCAGCCAAAACATTCTTAGGAGGAACATCAGTCCTAATCATTCAATGTAATTCATTATAACAAGCCTGATTAATCGTGCTGATGAATAAAGCTTTGAATTTCATCGGAGTAGTTTGGGGAAAAGCTGTTTTTTTGTTAGGTTAAAGTTGTGATTTAAATTAGTGACTATCATTTGGAGTAATCCTCAGCAAGCGCCACGTCTTGAAGTTAGTTTATCCTTTATCCTATACACACAGACACAAGTAGTTCCCCTTGAGAATGTCCTGGTTGCTGCTCCGCTGCTCGGTGCATTCCTCAAAGCTCCATGTCATCCCTAACTCTTCCAGGAAAACAACTTAACCAGAGGCCGGCCCTAAATCTTAGTGTCCTGGACAAACCGTGCGCTATGTCCTATAAGAGTCTATGTGCATCTGTATGTGTTATGTATAATCTATCCATTCTACCGGGTCTTTAAAAATGTGTTAGTTTTGTCTCGTATTGCTGCCAACATCTTGTTTTACAATTTCTGCATCATGACGTCATGGGCGACATTGCTCATGTTGACATTGCAGCTAGGTTTGTGGCTGCTGTCTCCTGGCCTTCTGGTCAGTCATTGGTTCAGGTTTAAATACCATGCTATCTCAACTGTGAAAGTGCTTTGACCTTTGGCATCTGGCTGTCAGGAAGAATCCAGGATGTCTGGTCGCATTGTATGTAGCTACACAGTCACATATGTTGAGTTGTGCACATGATCCTCCGATGAGTTCCATAAACTACAGACATATTGTAGATTTGTTTCACTCACTAGATCAGGTACTGTACTAAAGGTGTAAATGAAAATCTGATGAATATCTATTTTAGACAGTTCCATTTGGGTCAGAGCTCTGTAACATCTGGTTCTGTTTTGATTGGATGATCTTGTGACTTTGACGGGGTACATCATGTTCTGAAGGCCACAATCTGGATTCTCGTGAAATCATTTAATAGGTACTCCAGTGTATTTTTGCTCAGTGTTTTATTGTCTGTGACTGTATCCCTGGCTTCTCTTTTCTGGAAAATTAAGAGCGCTTCACCCTCGGCAAAGAGCCACGGTTCAACTCATGTTGCGATCACTTCCCAAGCTTCAAAAGCTTAGCACCTTGACTCTTTACCAAGTTATGTTTGTGCGCTAGTATGTAAAGAAACGAGACCAGATTCAAATTAGCCTGCATCTAGTTATTAATTATTTCACATTCAATCTGCCAGTTGTTTGTTTGATTTATCAATTGAATAATTGACCACAAAGCTCATCAAGAATTCCCAAAACCAGAGTTGACGTCTCTAAATGTCTTGTTTTGTCTGACGAGCAGTCAAGAGCGCAAAAGATATTCAGTTCATAAATAAAATATTAGATAAACCAATGGAGATTTCACATTTTTGCTGAGTATATGGCTTATAATTATTGACACTATCAAGTAGTTTATCATCATTTATAGTCTTTAATTAATATCCTGTTGATTGTCTTGTCATTAATGGAATGATTGTTGCAGCTGAAATAAAAAACAGTTACTACAGCATTTCTATTTTTGTTATTAAACACAATCTTGATGCATGGATTACATTTGATTGATGCAGTTCGAGTTAATTTACTTACCAGTATATGATAATCCAGTTTATTGATCAAGTCCCTTAATGTGGTGTCCACTGTACCGAACTCCTGATTGGCTGATCAATGCATTAAATCAATTACCTTTGCTGTCTCAGTGTTGACATTGTTTAGATAAGAAGATGGCTAATTTCTATGATTAGGGTTTATTTTGTGACGCAAATAAATGGACAAATAAACCTGAAACGTGTTATTGCCAGATTATAGCTTTGGTCGTGCACCTCTTGGCCGAGAGTTAGGGTAATTTTAAGTTTTACAATACATAACAAAGGCAACCTTTTACTGAAGGGCAATCAAATTGCTCCACTGATGACGGATGCTCCCTGATTTTATGTGGTGTATTATCTCATAGAAGATCTGTGATGTTGCTGTGAAATCTCTTTAATCCCATTTTATTTATGTCACCCTCAGCATTTTCACTATTTGGTTTATTTTGATATGGCCTGGGACATCTGATTCCCTCTAAGTGCCATACTGGCAATTATATTGGCTTTTAGTCTAATGATAAAGCTGTCTGTACTCAGAAAAGGGTCAGTGTGTTACATCACAGCGATAAAGAGCCATATAGTCAGGGTACATTTTGGAGAACAAAAAACCCAGAAGCACTCTGTACACATTCAAATATTTTAGCAACTCACCAGCATCTCTCCAAACAGAAGTCAAATCCCAGTGTACATACTTAAACTACTCTTTTAGTTTGGATCTGCCATGTTTCATGCCCCTGTTCTGGCTCTATTTTCATCAGGAGAAAATGGTAATAGTTAACTACTTAGCAATTACAAATGTACGGTCCCTCTCATTGGCAGGGATGCAGGTTCCTGGGCGTAAATCAGCAAATAGAGTGTAAACTGACAACAAAATCTCACCCTGACAGCCATCTGAGTTTAACTGTTGTACTGTTGGCACCCTAGGATACAACTCTCACATTAATGGCTTGGATACCTCGACACAGGCATGAACGCTTGAACGATCGCTTTATGTGTTCTGGGAACCCTGTAAGAGAACTTTTGTGCCTTTCTTTCGCTTTCATTATGGAGATAATAGATCAGGAGCAAGTGTGGGAAAGAGGTAACATTTCTCCAACTACAGTGATAGTGTCTAAATGTGCATTGAGGTGTTTTTTTTTTTAAGCATACAGGCCAAGTGTTTTCAATTGTAGGTCAGTTTGCTGAACCTGGCTGTGGGTTTCCTTGCAAAGACTAGCAATGATGAGTTGTGTGGTGTTTGTGAGGGTGTTTGGGCCTGCTGCAGGGCCAGTGTGTACACACATCGTAACAACATGTTTGCTGAGTAACTGCAACAGCAACCTACAATTAGGTTAAGTGAATCATTTTCTTCATTGAACTCATTTGTTTTCCCGCTCCTTAACCACAGACTATTATTAGGTAGCTGTGTCTCAGACTGGGAAATACTGTTACATAAGGTATTGAAAAAGTACAAGGTGTTCACAGGTATTCTCAGTTAGAAGTGATAATGTTGTCAGTGCTGGAATATTGTATAAAACGGGCCGCTTCTTCACCTCATGTAGTATGTGTAGGGGAATATTATTCTAGTTGTTTAGGATACATTTCACACACAACTTTATTTGCTGGAAACACAAATTACAAGTACATTTATCTGGAGGCCAGTGGAACTCTGCCTCTGGGAAGGAAAAATTGCCCTCTAGTAAAAAAGTAATTATAATTTTGTACTATTTTCCTCCTTTTTATTATTTAGAGGATTATTTTTCTGGCTACCATACCCACATAATGAGGGGAGTATGTGTGAGGGCCTCATCCTCCTCTTCCTCCCGGGTGCTGAGTAAGACTCACAGACAGGAAGTGAGTCTTGTGGGGAATGTGCTGCAGGCTTTCTCTTCTCTCTTTCGTTCTCCCCCTCTATTGCTCCCTCTCGAGCATTCAAACACTGCTCTGTTGTTCCAGCTTCCATCAGATCGTCTGTGGAGCTGTTGGACTTTCCCTGATCTTTATCCTGACACTACAACACAATCCTCACCCCTTAACCTTAACAAACCCAGGCACAATCTGTATTGAAAACACTGAATTCTGTATCTCAACCAAATGCTTTTAAAGTGAAATAAAAGATGGAGAAGAAGGGAACTTTGAGAGAAGCCTTACACAAATCACCTTTTGGAAAAATGCTGTGAAAAGTGGAAAACAATAGACGGTGCCAGCACTTGAGAGGAAAATCCTATCTGGTGTATAATGGTGTATTCCCTCAGATGAGGATGACATCTGTCATTTTGAGAAATTGTAATGTTTAAACCAGATCCTGACTG